TTTATCTTCATCACAATGATTTTATTTAATCCTCGTTATTTTTTAACATATATATGATTCAACATTGAAGGCTGTCCTATATGTTCCTTCCATTTTTAATAACAAAACAGCAGTATCACGGTTTTGCTCAATTTGCAGGATTCTCTTCTTTCAGTTTCTGCATGTACACTCAATCTTCTCCCATTCTGTCTTCAATAAATGAAATGAAAAGGCCTTGACTCTCTTTCCTGGATAGGCAACAAGCTAGAAAACAATTTCACTGCAGTGTAAAACACAGCAGTTACAGTATCTCAAAGTACTCTGGGAGCACAGCAGAACCCAGCTCTTACTCTCCTCTCTTCATACCATCTCCTCTGGAAGTCTCATCCCCTTACCATCCTCTTTTGTTTTAACATTGATGGTACAGCAACCTCTGTACAGACCTATGTTCAATATTTTAATCTATTGTAGTGCAAAAGTAGAACCAAAATAGATGTGGTGAATGTTTACATTTAATTACAGAAAAGTAAAAGACAAAGTGAGTACAGGATGTCAAAACAGAGACACAGGAGGTATGATCAAAATATACAGCAAATATGTAAGTCTAAAAAGTTACTTCAGTAAAGAGACACTTTGCCATTTGTCCCCCTCAGAATACTCTCTTGCTCTAACTTTGATCAAATGTGTCTCAACATTTTTGTCACTTTCTGAAACAGTTCTGGAAGTTCTCTGTTCTAAGTTTCTTTATATCAGGTAAGCAAAATATAGTGAATGCTACTGCTAAGTGACATCCAGTAGAAAGGAAGATGTGTGGAAACATTAATCACTATATGTCATATTATACTTCATTCACTGAATCTGAATGTGTGACTTCTGGCTCTTCCACAAAGTCAAACTGGCTGTGAAAGGTAATTGTTTTGAATCAACTCAGGACATACAGACAGCTGTAACAGCACAACTTAAGACACATATAAACTGATAAGAGTGGTGGGATAAGTCTGTTTATAGTGTGGGAGAGGGGTATTTTGAGAAAATTAATGGCAAAGTATAATTTATTGAAATATACTTTTAAATTTTAAACATTTACTATATGTTTTGATCACACTTCCTATGTCTTTCTTTGATATGCTGTACTCCTTAAAGTCAACAGAATATAACAAAAGGCAATCTTTACTGAGCATTTATAATGAGCCAGGTGCTATTCTATGAACATTACAAACTAAGTGCTAGCATTATTTACACTCTGCGATAAACTAAACAGAAGGGTTTAAGTTGTTCAATGTTACACAAATTAGTAACAGGCAGAGCAAGGTTAAGGACCTACGCAGTGCAGTTTCCAAAGCTAGAGCTCTAAAACACTTATACTGTCCTCCCTCAACCATCACACATGAGCTTTTCAGCAAAATACAGTCCACTGATTAACTTATGTAATAGCTTTGGAGCCCACAGCAAAAAAAGATCATCAAGATGTTTAAAGATATTTGACTCAGTAATTCAGTGAGGCACATCATTAAGAACGTGATTTTCAAAATCCCTACATCTAGTTTCCAACCTATCTCAATTTATTTAATAAGTATATGATTCCACATAATGTATTTGACTTTTCTGTGTCTCATTTCCTCAGCTATAGAGTGGAAATAATAGGATACTTGTTTTTAGATGATAAGTAATACATACTTATCATACATATTCCTAATTCATATAATACATTTGGTAAACATTAGCATTAATTCTCCTTATTTTTATAATCTTCTGAGTCATAGAAGAAAAAAAGTGAATGCTGAATAACAAATCTGGACTATAGCATCCAGGGGTGTGGTCTATAAATACTATCTCCTATTAAAAATAACTAAGATTCTTTAGAGAAATTAATGATTTCAGGTATAGACATAAAATGCTCAAGATAATTATGGGCATGATATCAGTCCTGAAACCACAGAAGCTATCAAAACCTTCCTGATTCATGGTAAGAGATAGAAGCTACCAGGAAAAGGACACAACTGGCCAAGTAAGTTAAATAAGGAAATAAATATAATAAGAAGAATGACAATAGATTAAAACACATCATGTTTGTGTGCCATCTATCTACACAGGAACTGTTTAGTCTATAATGATATTCTGCAAAAACAATCACAATAATTCTTATAAGTTACTAAAGCATCAAAATATTATAAAAATTAATTAATAAAAGTGATTTCTCAAACTTTTGCCATATATTTTTTAGTAATAAGGGAAAGATCTCTTTATAGAAAAATCATAACTAAAAGGAGAAAAAGAATAAGCACTGAGAAACCACTCTTTGGTTACTATCATGAAATAATAGATTTTGGAAGTAATTTTTAATGGATAACAATAGCAGGTGAAAGGCTATGATGGATGGTTTAGAATGACAGTTCCCAATCCCACTGATTAATTATGACATCACTAATAGTGAAACACCCCAATATTATGTTTCTTTAATAGAAACATATATAAATATGCAGCATTGCCCATGCATTCTTTTTACCAAAGTTAAAGCTGGATCTAAGTCGGTTTGTATTAGTTTACATAGAATATCAATAACGAAAATCATAGTAGCTACAATCAAACAAAAATCAAAACATGGCAAGTTCTGCAGCAGAAATAACTATATATATATATATATATATGACATGAAAAATTTGAAAAGGTATTATAAATTTAAAAGAGATGTTATACTCAATGAAAGGCAGTTTCAGACTTTGGATTTTGATTAGAAAAACTTTACTGTAAAAAAAGATAGTTGAGAGTAATCAGCAAATCTTTAAAGAATAACTCACTGATAGGTGAGCCAAAGGTACATCATTATCTTTCTTAAAATATTATGTTTTACAAAAATGAAACATTTACAGATTAAATTACATACTAAGTTTGATTCAGCATACTTTTGCAAAAGAAAACAAACTGGGGGTGGGGACTCTTTTTCCAGGAAGATGAGGTAGATGGGTAAGTCTAGCAGGAAAATGGATGTGGTTATGAAAAGGTAACACAGTGGGGTGGAAGCTGTCCGGTACCTTGGTAGTGATATTGTACTGCAGGATCTAATCATAAAGGAACATTCTGTCAAGGGTACAAGGGATTCTTCTATATTATGTCTTGCAGATGCATGTGAATCTCAAAAAAAAAAGTTCAATCAAAAGAAAGAGAAAACGTAACAAGGCAGAAGATAAATGAACAAGAATGGCAGAAAAATTGATTATTACAGAAGAATTCAACAGAATGCTTTTCATTTTATTGAAAATTTCGATGACAAAAAGAGTTTTGTTTTCTAATTTTAGGAAAACTAAACTTAATATTTCTCTGCAGTGTGGACTCACCTTCTGATTTTTCCTAACTGTTCTATTTTGAGTCTTTCAAAATCCCATACAAAGTCATCCCATACATTTACTAGTTTTTTCATCTAAAATACTATTTTTACTTTTACTCCTTTGCAAATAAAGAAACACTCCTTAGTATAAAGTTCATGTGCATCACAATCCCTCCACAGTCACTCCTGAGCAGCTTCCTACTCTTCTCTTCACACCTTTCACTTCAGGCATCTAGTTTCACTGTCGCATGTATACAATTTTGGACACAGTGTCTTGCTCAGGTCATTCTCTTGCCTGCACCTCTTTTTTCTTCTTCATTGACCTAAATCCCATCCATCGTTTTAAAAAATGAATATAATCCACCTCCTCCTGAATCTCCCTCAACCCTTAAAAGAACTCCAGTGATTTTTCAGAGCAAAGATCCTGTGTTGTATCACAATGTCTAAAAGACTTTCTGATACAATCTGAGTTTTCAACAAAAAGGTGTTGATTTCACAGAATTAATACATGGTATAAAGCCTCTGAGAGGTCACTAAATGAAAGAAAAAAATGAAAACAAAGAAGTGAATATGCTAAAGAGATTTAAAAATAAAAAATGGAATTCAGCACACTTGAATCTCAGACAGTAGTATATATATACAGTTTGCTTGCACAACTTATTTAACGTATCTTGGCATTTGATTCCAAAATGTAAAGCAAAAGACTTGACCCCACTTTTAACATGCTGGCATCATACTTGTTTCAGAAAAACTCTGCCAAGGGAGAGTTATAATCCTATGGATTATAATTTGGGAGAGTTATTCTTCCTATTCATCAAGAGACTAAACTTTACATGAAACACGAAGCAACACAGCATCCCTGATTCAGTAGTTTTTAAACAAAACTGAGTTAATGAAAATGAACTGCATGATGACTTTGGAGATCACAGGAAGTGGACCATGACATGTTCTAAAGACACAGTGTTACATTTCATAAGATTTCCTGCATCCTAGCGGAAGTGGAGGCTCTTTGCTTGTAGCACTAGTCTGTCATCCTTAGCTTTGGTCTTGCTGTCCAGGACTACTGAAGAAGACAGTCCTGTGCAGGAACCACCATGGTTCCCAAAATAATAAAGCTGAAACTAACCAGGATGGGAAGAACACCAAGAAAAACACACGATGAGAGTAGGTACTAAAAGAACACATTCTACTTCTCTATATGCAAAGAGTGTTGTTCTCTAGGCAGGCCTTGTGTGTGTAAGAAGGTCATGACTCACAGTATGACTTTCAGGATAGAAGTGGCAAAAATCTTAACCAAACCATGAACCCTGCACAGGTAGCCCTCAACAGACTCCCTGGGAATGCCCAGGCTGGAAGACAAGAATGTAGCAAAAGAATCAGCAGAACCCACCACTGGCACTCAGTGAAATTCAGGAGAGCTGCTGTCAAAGAGAGTATCATTAGCACATGAATGGGGAAGAGACCTTCTTGCCCAGAAACTCTGGCCTTCATGAGGGTGGGGCTGCTGGTCCTTTGAGAGAGCCCAAGGTAGTCAAGTAATGGGTCAATGTAATGAGACTGGAAGCACATGTGGGACCTACGGGATGAGTGAACAGAGATCACAGGAACCCAAAGTCTAGTCAAGGGGAGAAAAGCAAGTAGCAGCAGTTGATTTTTCTCTATGCCAACACAGCATCATGAGGGTCCTGGCAGTTACCTGAGGTTTCTTCACCTTAATGATCCACGTGGGTGGGACAATAACAGCAGCATGGGCCCCCAGGGAGCAGGGTTCCTCAATGTGATGCAGCATGAAACAGGTCACCTTATTGTGAAACTGAAGAGACAAACAGGCTAATGAGCAATTCTGGAGTAAGTACATACTTAAATCTTGTGCATGCACAAACACACACATGCATGCACACATTCATGCACTATAAAGACACATGCTGCTCGTCACCATCCAGCTAGCCCCAGGAACCTAGAGACCAGATTCCCAACTAATTCCAGAATACAAACTTACCACAACAGTTAACAAGAAATCAACCTAGCAGGATGAGGCCTGTGATAACTTTTTACCCTTTACATAGAGATGTTAACAATCTTGGAAGATTGTAGTAATCCCAACATTGCACACAAACGTTTCCCTTGACCTAATGCTGGTCAGAGACTCAGATGATTAAGAATAATATGGAGGGGGAAAAAAAGCAGAAAGGAGATGCCTACTCTCTGCCTCTTCTTTTGCTGTTAGTGATATAAATCCTCCCTGGTTGTCTTTCCAGCTTAGAGATGCCAGGAAAGAGACAGGATGTCTCTTCTGGAAACCTTTAATCCCAGAGGTAACCAAATTCAAGGACACTGTTTCTGCCAGTTCCTCTAAACCCCTTAAAAACACATTGGCCCTATTATACTTGGCAAACCTAAAGTGCTTTTTGTTTTTGAAAGGAAGGAAGTAAATGCAAACTAACATTGTAACAATACCTCAGCAAGAGGCACTTAACTGGATACCCCAGCTGCAAAACTGAAACTGGTGACCTTAGGCCAATCACAATCCTCTTTTGACTATAGAGCCACAGTGATGTGCAGTAACATTTATTTTCCAATAAACATAAAATCAACATTATATAATAATTAGGGACTTTAATCACAATGATATTTTTAAAAAATTAAACAGCAATTTCTACTTGAATTATACTTACAATGGCCATATAATTTATCATTTTAACTGAAACAATTGAAGAATGAAAAGGATCACTGATAATAATAATAATATTGAAACAACAGACAATAATTAGCATGGTCGCAGGAAAACTGGCAAATATGATCACCCTAATTTTATTGTAAAATATCACAGACTTTGTTTTAATTTATGCACATCTTCATGATCTGCTATTATCCTGTGGCTAATTACTAATCAGCCAATTAAATATAAAATATTAAATGATAAAATAGTTAATAATCTTCTCTGCTGCCAGATATTTGTGATCTGCATGAAGTATTATTTCAATGCTTCTTTACTTTTTTTTAGTAACTAAAAAAAAACACTCAAATACATAAATAACATAGTAAGGGTCTCTGAGATTGCCTAAGTCAGTTCTCTCAATTTATAGTTGGGACTAATCTACAGATTAAGATGTAAATTCAATCTTGCAAGTTTTGAATGATTACAGCAGGACATAAATACATGGAACCCAGCTCTTAGCCCCGGGTTCTTTGTCCTGTACCACAGAGGCTCACTGCTTTGTTTGACATCATATATCCTAGGTGGGATCATCAACACTGTAAAATACACAATTTATTTTACATAGTAATTTGAGTCAAAATATTTTATATTTATGATTCTTACAAAATCACGTTCTATAATGTAGGAATCTGGAAAATGCAAAGAGATGTGAAACTGACCAACGGCCAAGTGGAAGTTTAATCTTTATAGACTCAATTGGACTACAATTGAAGACAGCACACATTTACCTTAAAGTGAAGCTGTTTCCAAAGCAACTGACCCTGCGTAAACCATCTCACTCCAGCCTGGTAGCTACACACAGGATGCAGCACAGCCTATCTGAGCATACCTCCCATGATGCTGTGCCCCCAGTGGATCTCACCAATTGGGGGGCTGGGAAGCCAGCATTGTATATAGCATTAAAGACTCTGACACTAGATCAGCTTCTTCCTCCTCTGATAGAAATACTGCCATTAAGCCAGAATTTCACTAAAGCTGGCTAGGATAGTCTTAGATTTGTGAACATACTCTTAAACATACAGACCTTATGTATGTGACAAGGAACTGAAATGTCAAGAACACAGTGCCAGGATGGTGATAAAGCAAGCACCGAGTTTCCCAGTGACAAAACATTCTTCTGACATGTGAGGTCATTTGAAGGAAAGTATGCTAGCAAGATTACAACAATGAAATTGACATAATGCAAATGGTTTTGATGCCCCAAAATGTCATAATGTTTCAAACTAAATGTTGTAGCCTGTGAGACAAATTCAACCTGCTTTTTGCAGAGAGATGAAATTACATGAAAACTCTTAAGTATCATAAAAACACTATAACCCTTTGTCTTCAGATTATCTGTGCAAGGAAGGGGTAATTTGTCTCAAGTCATATGGTCATTCAAAAGAGCAGAGGTCAACAAACATTTTCCATAAAGACCCCTAAGGATTATTTTACACTTATGAGTCCATGTGTCTATGATACAATTAATCAATTCATGTAATGCAGCAAGAAAGTAGCCACAGATAATCCATAAATGTAAAAACAATCATGGATAGCACATAAATAATTTAAGCATTGCTATGTTTCAATAAAACCTTATTTGTAAAAAAATAAATAAGTGGAAGCTTGGGATGGGGGCATCATTTATCAATACCCAAGTTAGAGTAAAAGAATGAACAGGTACCAAGGCAAACAAGAAAACATAGCATCTGGTCTAGACAGAGGAGTTAGGCACTAAAAGTCACTCAAACTAGGTGTAGTGGCACATGCCTGTAATCCAAGCACTCAAGAGACAGAAGCAGGAAGACTGCCACAAGTTTAAGGCCAGCCTAGGCTACATAGTGAGTTCAAGGCTGGACTGAACTAGACCAACAGAGGCCGACTCATACATGCAAACTCACTCACATCAAAACCAGAAGACCAGGATGCCTAGACCCTTGCACAAGAGAGACCTCTCATAGTACCTGTTGCCTTATTCCTAAAATTGCCCCTTCTTACCACAAGGAGAGCTCTCAATCAGTTAGGGGCCAAAAAAGAAATAAGAGTATAGGAATGAGAAGCCCTCAATTCAGTTCCAGGGAGGATTTTTTAGTCTTTGATCCCAGGTTTCAATATATTCAAAAAGAAGGGATAAATGTATCTCTAGAAATTCTCCCAGATGATACATGTTAGTGTTCTATAGCTTTACTATCTTTCTTCCTCCACAAAGCCTAGCTGAGAAAAGTAATAGGAGAAATAATACTTGCAGACAGTAACTCAAGCATTGACACGTCTATTTTGATTTCATGTGAGCACGTATTGTTTTACTTCATCCCAAACTTACCGCCTGCTTGCACCAGGAACAGCTGATAGCCACGATCTCTTTACTGTGGAAGGAGAATTTTTGCTGGAAGCCCTGGAATATTAGATAAGAGACAGAGAACTTAAAAGTCAACCTAATAGCAGCAAGCATTTGTCCCCCACCATGGAGGTTCCACAAAATGAACTATTACCCATTACCATGGTAACCAAAACTTCGAGCACCACACACACAGCTGTACTCCCCACCTTCTGCCATGTGATGGTTTTCTACTTTGAAGCATTCAGAGTATAAGAGACAGGAAGCACTTGTATATCCTACAATACTGACTTCTCTAAGTCAGCCACACAATAAGAAAACTTTTTTTAAAAGTATGTTTCTATATAGTTTTTATTACAAAGGAAACATCACCCATTGGTTTTATATAATAGTGGTCATGTATCTCAGAAGCTTCATAGAACTTTGGCATCTGAGAACCCAGAAGGAAAGAAATTGAGGGTCAGACAGACAGTACTGAAAAGCCAGGGTCTGGGAGGAGTCCAACAGTGTGGTGGGAAATTTGGCTTTCACCACCCCTTCAGGATGTCTGCTCTCAAAACAAGCTGCTTTAGGTTCTATTCTTCACCAGCAAGCAGAAATGAGATGAACAGAATAGCAGAAACTGTCCTGTTAGATGAACAAACAGAATGACTCTGCCATCAAGAATGGAAGAGGTGCTTTTAGCTGTAGAGTCCCTAAGTAATTACCAAACAGAAGTATACAGTAATGCTCAAAGATATTTCTCGCTAAGCCTCAGCCATTTTTCCCCACCAATAAAATGTAAACTCAAACAAATGCAGTGACAAAAAGTCTTAAATAGGAGATACACAGGAAGAGACAGACAGACATAGGTAGAGAGGGGTGAGGAAGAGAGAGAGAGGTCAAAAGAAAGCATAATGGTGTGAACTGGCTAAAAAAGTCTTGCTTAATGTTTACAGATAGCTTTAAGTTGAGAGTCAAAATACATTATGAAATGATGCTTCAGTACTACTGGCAGCATTCACAATTCCCACTTGTCCGTAGCATTTATGTGCTATTGGGCATCACTCCTCTTTGAATTTCTCTCCTCTTATTTTCCCAACACTGCCAGTTCTCGTCTGACCACTCAGTCCATTGTATGTGGCCATCAGTCCAGAACTGGGTTCAGTCATCTATGCCCTATGATGCATCCTCTGATCATTCTCTTTTGCCCCACCATTAAACATCACAACCCTGAGCAAGACTTCTTAATATCAGACCTGTAGCTCTGTGTGCATGCCTCTCCCCTAGGTGATGGACACTGCTGTGCCTCCTTTTGTCCACAACTGCACTTTCTCCCAAGATTGCTTCTGAGTCACACATGGGCTAAAATGCTGGGTAGCTTTGGTGTCTATGTGTTTGCTACTGCTCTTGCCCAAGCATCATTCCATCAACTTATACATCAAACAGCTGGATGTCAAATAGAAGCCAGGGAGAGACGGCAAAGTTGAGATCTTCTTATTGGCTGGGTGAACCAATGAATTCATTCTTCTAATTTTTCCCTTCATCTGAAAATGGAACTAATGATAGAAACCTCTCCTATATGACTAGGTCCTCATACTAATCAAATGTGGCAATGTATTTAAGAGTTCTATGACACCACATTTTAAGTACATAGAGAGTGATTATTGCTAAGGCCTATCAACCAGAACTTCATCTTGCTGAGAAAAGTTGGTGTCAAATGTGCTTATATGCACTCTATTCAATATTATAGGAGGAGTTTATTCAGCTGAGTCATCCAATAAATACTGGCCTAAAAGCTTCAGAAAGAGAACAGATGCAATTCACTGCAGCACTAATAGCCAGGCTGATACTAGAAACAAACAACAAGGCCAATCACAACTGGGGCACGGGGCATGATGCTCATGCATGATTGCGGCAGGTCCCTTGGAAACAGGCCTGCTAGTAATCAGCTCTGTGCTTTGTTTTGGATTCTAGTCTGTCAGAATCACAGCAACCATGGCTTTGGAGCTATTATCTAATAGAGGAGCATAAATAGAACCATTTCAGAGCCTTCATGTACCGAGTTTTAACAAGACTACCTGCTATGAGGAGAGTTTGGCCAGGCTCATACAGAGCAGCAAAGAGAACCAGATTTCTAATCAGCCATGTTTAAATGTTGGTCCAAATTTGCTATTATGGTACTGAAAGATGCCCCAACGGAATATTCAAATAACATTATTTTGTTCAGTACTTTCAAAGAAGAAAATAGAGATGTTAGGCTAAATGCTTTGGATCCAATTGATTTCAAAATTAAAAATACCAAGAACACTGACAAGTGTTCAGCTCTACATCCCTGGTGAAATTCAAGAGGATAATACATGAAATGAGCTGAAATTAGTTCACTGTTTCTGTATTTAACTGAGGCTTGAAGTGGGGAAATCTCTTGATCACAAGCTAATTCCCTGTTTAATTGAGGTCTATCCAACATAAGAATTGATACTTCACTTGCCTAGAAAATTTATACCAAAGACTCCTTTCTCTACCCATCAATATGACCAAAGCTCATAAAGTGTACAAAAGGAAAACTCAAGGGAATTATAAAGTAAGACTCATCAATTTTCCTCAAATAATATTTATCTGAAAAAAAACTTCAGGGATGTTAGCTCAAATGCTCCCTATGATTTTTCATATATATATATATATGTTTCATATATATGTTTCAAATATATAATATAAATATAAATATATATATATTTCAAATATATAATATAAATATATATACTTCAAATATATATATATATATATATATATATTCTTACACATTTGATCTTTCATGTCTAAAATATTTGTCATAATTTGAGACTCAAAGTTCATAATTTCTGGCAAAGTAGGATTGAAACTGTAAAGGAAAATTGTTGTACCATTCTCTTACTTGTATCTTATGGAATATAATTTTTTTTTGTCTTTTTCATTTTTATCAGGACCAGCGATCGAACTCACAACCGCTCACTTGCAAGGTAGGCGCTTATGTCACTGAGCTAAATCCCTAGCCCCTCTTATGGAATATAAACATCACAGTGACTTGGTACAGATTAAGGTAAGAAAGTATTCTACTTTCAGCAGGACTTCTGCCAGATAATCTCAAACTGACAGCATTGCAACAGTTTTCAACCAGTTGAAGCTGGTAAGTAAACAAGACCTTCTAGCTAACCAGTTATGGCCCCATACCAACCTAACTGAAAACTCTTTTCTGATCAATAAAAAAGAAGTATTCTAGTTAACCAACTATAAACTGATTTGTGGGCTAATTTGGTCTTCTCTAGAGTGTAAGTTTCAATCTTTAATTAGCAAAGTCACCAGGAACTATCCCCTTTCTTTCTATTTTAGTGTATGTGCTCCCAAAGTGAGTGAGCATCCTTTTCTTAATACATGTAAATAACTTTTTCCTTTAACAAACTATTCAGTTTAGACTGTCACTGATATTTGCACCCTTATCTGGCAGTATGAATCCCTGAATGCTAGTATGATATTATGCTAGTAGGATAGTATGCCTTTCCTTTAGTTTTGAGGAAGTATAAAAAAACTGTTTAATATTCTAGCCTTGACAAGTCTAGGATTTATCTATTCATAGAAAATCTAATTTACCTGAAATTTCTAAATTTCCTATCTGAATTTCAGGATATTAAGTTAAACTTGTTATAATCATTTAAGATTTTCAAAATGTAAACATGTACAATCTAAATTGGGTAAGAATATCTTTAAAATGAATCACAGTAAGCAATGTCCTGATTTCTGAGAGTTCTTCACATTATATGAATTTACAATTACCTTATTGAAGTTATCTTTGAAAGACTGAATTTCATGTCTACTGGGTTTAATCATAAAGCATTTTATGGTGCTAATGAAAGACAGAAATTTGTGAATGCTTATGTTGTCCACACAGAGCACTGATGGCCAACCTATGGCACACATGCTATAGCAGGCTGCCTGCTATCATGAAAAGCTCTAAGATCTGCCTTCACTGATACTGACTCTCCATCCTGGCATATCACTAACACCTACAGAACAATGTGTTCTTCCTCAACAGAGCATCCTGAGTTGTTGGTGTTTATAGTATGCTACTCAGAGCAGGTAAGTCTTATCATCAGTAGATAGTTTCCACTTTTTCCATTCATTTATCTGAAGGTCCCTGCTATAAACTAGAGATCAAAAATTGAGTTTTCTGGGAGGAAAAGTAAAACTTCAGATGGTATGAAGACACGAAGAAATGATTTCCTGGTTGTTTCACTTCAGAAGCAGATGAGTTCATGCAAACAGACAGCTGAAATTCAGATCTCAGAGCTAGGATAAAGAACTCCAACAATGGCTACTGATTGATGCTTAATTTTACAAGTAAACTATTTCTAGTCGTTATTTTTATATTTCATATTTTTATAATCATCCTGATTTTAAGACAATGATGTCTTATACAGAGAGTGTTACAGAGTGGTATTATTTACAAACAATTTGGCTCACAAAAAGAATCATTTCGCAAAATTTTGTTTTTGTCAGAAAAACTACATTGAGTGACAAACACAACCATAGCCATTCTTCCCACACAAACACTAACATGGCCCTCTTTTGCAAAATCTTGGAATAAATTAAGTTCTTGAACCAAGGCACCACTGTATTTAAGGCTGACAAAACAGTATTTGAAGCTTTTAGTTGTTTGGTTCATATCAAAGTCCTGGAACAGTATAGAGCCTTCATAGATTAAAGTATTTTCCTCATGATGCAACTAGGACAAACTATAATAATGCTGACCCGTTAAAATTTTATTTCTATATCTGATTAACCCATAATTAATGCTTTTGCAGATTAAAATTATTACTTTTTTCTTTCCTTCCTTCACTTATTCACCAAGTAGGTTGTTTTTTGGGAGAAAAAGACTAGGTAAAATATCTTAATTTTTTTTAAAAGACAGAATTGGTATTAACACAGTTACCAACTACAAATCACAACAGCTTTTAATGACACCATATACTGCATGATTTTGCAGACTGGATGACATTACAGGAAGTAACTGGTCATAATTTACCATTCACAAATAGACTGTG